AACCAAGTGTGAAGGAACAGTAGTTAGTCATACCAGAATCAGTAACAGTAGATTAGATAATTAGAACAGTTTTTGTTTGTAAATAATCAAGATTTTCCATTTTTCTGTTTAAAGCTTTGGTTTTTGTGACATATTGTTGACAGTAATTACAGCAGAATATAGTCGAAATTTGGAAAAAACAAGAAGTTATACGCTGGAGGATAAGTCACGCAGGTGAAAGCCGCCAAAAAACGGTAGCTACAATACCCAAAGTGACCCTGGATTAAAATCTTCCAAAAATTAACTCGAGTTACTCCAACTTCGTATCTATCGACCACAACCTCCAAAAAAAGTTCAAACAAAAAATTATGCTTTGGAAAAAAGCATGTGAAAGAAAAAAGCGCTGTATGTGCCATTGAGATTTCAAAAGTAAATGTGTTTATATCGTACAAAAAGTTATTTTCTTACCTCTATACTCTTGTTTTCGGCTATTCTGATTTGGTTCTTTTGTTTCTTCTAAAATTATTTCAACTGAGTTTGAATCTGAATGTTGTTTAATATCGTTAATTTTAAATAGTGCATATGGTGTAATTAATACTTCTTGTTCGTCACTATTTGTTGATAATTTTTCAACATCTAAAGCTACTATTGAATTAGTTATATTATATTGAAACAATACAGACAATTGACTATCTGTTGCTTCATCTTTACCAGAAAACCTATCAGCCACTGTTCTATCTTTTGATGTTGACAAAAATGTACGATTTAATATTTCTAGATCTATTTTATATTTGTTCAGTTGATCACTGGTCATCGGCAAACCACGATAACATACACCGTTATTGAAGCAATATTTGGCATAATCAGGATTATTTATTACTAACGTAACAATATAAATTAAACAATTAATTAATTGATAGTTCGTTTCGTCCTTGGTATTAGTATCATAATCTAGATATTGAGCTAAATGTTTATTTATATGTTTATAAAATCCGGTATCACATGATGTATATGCTTTAATAAAATATTCAA